GGCGTTTGGGGAGAGGAGAGAGCTCAGCAGGGTATGATCTCTAGAGTTGTAGTTTCAGGAGGTCACCAGACACCACCGGGAGACTGGCAACCCATTCCTTCTGCTGGCAGTCAGCAACGAATAAGCTATCAGTAACAAAAATGGAGGCTCCCAAATTGCTTCTGGATCCAAGGAAAGTGCTGTCTTTGGGCTGGGATGTCGCCAGTATCCTGATGACACTCAACTGTATCTGTTGATGGACGGATGGCTGAATACCGCCCCAGACAAATTGGCCAGGGGTCTAGAGGCTGTGGTTGGTTGGTTGAAAATAAATCCGTCAAAGACGAGGGTCCTGTGGCTGAGCCGGGGAGATCCTGGGCTGGGATGCCAACTTCCGACCCTTGACGGCGACCCATTTACACCAAGGCCACTCGTGAAGAGCTTAGGAGCCAATGCTCCCTCTGGGCTGTGGAGTCCTGTGAGCAAAAATTCTACTTTGTGAGCTACTGGCATGAAAGCTGTGAGCGAGCCATTTGGCTACTGCGTAAACTAGTTTGCTCTGGAGCCATCCTTTCTCAGCTAATACAAGAATGTGTGAGCCAGAGGCTAAAAACCTGTGAGCTAGCTCACACTAATTCAGCTTAGAGGGAACACTGCTTAGGAGTGGTTCTGGAAGCCTTGCTCTCGATGGAGGCCCAGTTCACATATGCTGCCAGAATGGCATTTTCCCACCTATGCCAAGTTCGGCAACTGGTTCCCTTCCTGTCTCGCCCAGACTTAGGCACAGTGATCCATGCAATAGTCACCTCGAGGCTAGACTACTGTAACTCGCTCTACGCAGGACTACCCTTGAGACTGACCAGAAACTTCAACTGATCCAGAATGCGGCTGCACGTGTGCTTACAAGCACTCCATCTAGAGCACTGGCTCCAAGTTGAATATGTTTTTAACTTTCAAAACCCTACACGGTCAGAGACTAACATATCTTTGCGACCATCTCTCCCAGAGAGAAGAAGAAGAACAGACTGAATTTATAACCTGCCCTTCACTACCCAAAGGAGTCTCAGAGCAATTTACCTTCTCCTTCCCCTTCCCCTCCCCACAACAGACACCCTGTGAGGTAGGTGTGGCTGGGAGAGCTCTGACAGAAACTGCTCTTTTTCAAGGACAGCTCTTATCAGAACTACGGCTTGCCCAAGGTCATCCAGCCAGGTGCAAGTGGAGGAGTGGGGAATCAAACCCGGTTCTCCCAGATTAGAGTCTGCGCACTCAACCCCTACAACCAAACTGGCTCCTTTTTTATGTTCCTCTCCAAGGAAATCTTTAGTAAAAGGCGAAGGATTTATGCGATCTGAAGAGAAACCAGAAACTTAAGAATAACCACTCTTACTTAAGTACTACATCTCGAATGCTAACAATTCACAGGTCCCATCTGCTGAAGAGAAACTCAGGCTTGGTGGGAGCATTCTAAAAAGTTTCTTTTTGCCTGTGAAGAAATCACTGTAAATCGCCCCTTCCTCTGAAGCCCCACACCTGGACATACGGCAGCCTTCCCTCATGAAACTGTGACAAACAAACAACTCCGACTCAGAAAACATCTGGGGACTTGCGGGCAGAGCCTGTGGAGGGAGGGGTTTGGGAAGGGAAGGGAAGGGACCTCAGTGGAGTATAAGGCCTAAGTCCACCCTGCACAGCAGCCATTTTCTCCAGGGGAATTGATCTCTGCCATCTGAAGATCAGTTACGTTTCCAGGAGATCTCCGGCCAGTGTTCCCTCCAAGCTGAGTTAGTGTGAGCTAGCTCACAGTTTTTTAGCCTCCGGCTCACACATTTTTGTCTTCGCTCGGGAAGGAGGGCTCCAGAGCAAACTGATTTATGCAGCAGCCAAATCACCTGCTCACAACTTTCATGCCAGTGGCTCACAAAGTAGAATTTCTGCTCACAGGACTCCAGAGCTTAGAGGGAGCATCGTCTCCAGCCTCCACCTGGAAGCTTGTATATCAAAAATGAGAGCTCACGGGAGGAGATTGTATAAATATAAAGACACTCCGTGAATGAATGACGAAGAAAAGCAGAGAAATTATATTGTATGAAACAATTCAAACCATTTGAAATCTTTGTTAAAGAACCCTTATATATATATATTCTTAAAGTGCTAGGATCAAAAAGTACTTGATACGATGGTCCTGTTCATACGAGGGGTTTTGGTCCGGGAGCGAGACAGAATGGGGGTGGATCAAACGGGCACGATCCCACGGCAACATCTGGGAATCGTTGCCTGCCCGTCTCCGATCCGTCTCTCCCGGCCGAAACCCCGCACCAAAAAGAACCACCTAACCTGGTGGTTCTTCTGATTGAAGCACCGCAAGCCGGGCCGTCGGATCGCCGGCGCGTCTTTGCGCCGGCTCATCCCCGGCTCCTAGCCAAACTGCGCATGCTCTGACATGCGCAGTTGGGCAGGCTCCCCGTCTGAACTGTGTTTTCTCCCCGGCATCTGATCGTGCCGGGGAGAAAAGGCGCCGCGGCCCAGGGGATCGTGGGATCCCGCCGCGGCGTCTCAACTTTGGCGCGGCTTTTAAAAGCCGCGCTTTGAGCGACTTATCCCCTGCCGTGTGGCAGGGGCCAAAGTAGGAATACAATTAAAGTCCACAATTCCTTTGTATAAAAAAACTTCAGGAGTACAATGGTTCCACGCCTAAGCCCACCCTGCACAGCAGCCATTTTCTCCAGGAGAATTGAACTCTGTCATCTGAAGATCAGTTACGATTCCAACCGGTAAACCTAAGCCAGCAAATCTAAGCACCAGCGAGTCACTTATGGCAGCTTAGAGGCCCGTTTATTTCCTTTTCCTTTTTTTCTTTTAATCAAAGGACACAGTAGGGCTTAGAATGCGTCTGCTCCTTTTGGAAACGCCTCTCCTCAAACCGGCAGCTTCTCGGGAGGCAGTTTTCAAAATTATGGAGAAACACTGACTGGTTAAGACGAAGCAGGTTAGCGCCTGGATGAAAAAGCCTCATTTATAAATACTGCATTAAAATCATCATACATTATGGATACGGGTTATTAGCATGTTATGGAAGCGAGCAGAATGCATTAGAAAGGCTTGTCGGCTCAGCCTGAGGAAAGAGCTAAGGGGGTTGTGGCCCGGCGGCTGGGCTAAACCTGTGTCTTGCTGTTACACTGATTAATCATTCAACAGCCTTGCCAGGACGGCCCCAAAGTTTGGGCAAGACAAAACTTTCAGTGCCGAAAGGGATATCACATGGACACCATCCCATGGGTAGACCATAACAGAAGTCAGGGGTCATTTCGTACAAAAAGAGGTGCAGGAGCTCATTAGCATAACTCCTATGCATATGCCACACCCCCTGACATCACCGGACGTGTGTCAGAAGGCAACACCCCCTGGCCAGGCTCCACTGGGCTTTTTTGGATTGCTAGCTATTGGGGGGGGGGGGACGTGCAGATCTGTCCTCGCAGAGGATGGAGAGCTTGTACCTGAATAAACCTTGGCCTTAAAGGTGCCACTGGACTGTTTTGGACTGGGGGGGGGGCTCTTCAGCTTACCTGGCTGCTTCTTGCTCTGACTGAGGGCTGCTGGGAGCAGGGGGTGGGGTTTGTTGCATGTCCCCGCCCCCTGGGCTCTTTACTGCCGGAGCACCGCTCCTGTGCGCTCCCGCAGGAAATGACCCCTGACAGAAGTGAGCAGGAAGGTGGCCATTTTGGACCTGGTCAGAACTGCCCCCTTGCTCCCAGCAGTGCTTTTATTTCCACACAGACAGCACCATAGGCCTCTACATCACATTTTGTCCCATTCTTCCTCACAGAGACTCGGAGCCGTGCTGTTAGTTCTCCAGTCCTCCACAGCAACCCCGTGAGGTAGATTAGACTGAAAATGACTGACCCAAGGTTGCCCAGTGAAGTTCATGGCTGAATGGGAATCTGAACTTGGGTCTGGTGTAGCAGTTGGACCGGAATGCGGGATCTCCACGTTCAAATCCCCACCGAGTGATCTCGGGTCCGTCGCTCTCTCTTAGCCTAATCTGCCACACAAGGTTGTTGTGTGAACAAAATGGAGGAGCGTTTTTACGTCTCCTCCTAGACGTAAAAACGCTAATCAATAAATCCTGCCTCATTCGAAGGAGTAACTTTCAAGTACTTTTTAAAGTAAGGTTGAGCCAACCAGTGGTCTCAAGAAAAAGATATAAGGCATGTAGGTCAGCACTTTCAGAGCTGGGTACCTGCTGATCAAACGGTTCCTGTGTCCACCTATACTGCTGCCTCAGAGAGACACTCTGCTATGATCCTGATAATCCCATAGATAACTGCCATCCTTTGTTTACTCATATTTTGGTACCTTGAATTGAGTGCTTCTGAGCATGTGCAAAGTTCTTTTCTCTCTCCACAGAGAGAATGTTTCCCTGCCTGCCTCAATGTGTTGTTGAATCCTATATCTCACACTCAGTGGCCTAGGATGGCAATTCCCGCCCTCCCCGCTGGACTCTGTGGTGTCTCAGAGGCAGCCAGGGATGGAATAACAGGCCATCTTTCAATGGAGAGGAAGTCGTTCATACAATACTTTGGGCTGTCTGTCTGGGAGAGGAACACACGTGCCCCAAATTGGCAAATGCCCCACTCAGCCCCCTTCAGGTTCCTCTTAAAAGGGGGCAGAGCTCCACACATAATGCAGCACATGATGGGCCTGAGTACATGAATCGAGCCCATGAAACCGTAACCCAAGTAGCTGCTCTCCTGCCAGGTCTTTTTCCAGGTTTGCCAACCGCCAGGTGGTGGCACCTGGAGATCTCCTGGAATTACAACTGATCTCCAGGCAACAGAGATCAGGTGACCTGAGGAAAATGGCGGCTCTGGAAGGCGGACTCTATGGCACTGTACCTCACTGAAGTCCTTCCCCTCTCCAAACCCCGCCCTTCCCTGGCTCCACCTCCCAAATCTCCAGGTAGTTCCCCACCCAGAGCTGGCAACACGATTCAAGCAAGAGATCCACTTCTCCTCACTCACCGTGTGGGTGTTCGACGTGCTGTTCGAAAACTGAGGGATTCTCAAGTGCAGGCTCTGGAGGACGTACGTCGTCTGCATCTGAAGTTTAAGAAACACCAGCCGATGTTAGCAAAGACAAATCCCCCACATCCATTACTAAAAGTGGGCATCTTCTAGAAGACACGAGCCCGTTCCTGTTTTCGTCACTGAAACGACGGAAGGTTTGGTACCGAGGTCATAGGAGCACAGAGTCCAGACACAGAAGGGGGAAAAAGAGAAACGTTTCTGGCCCTCAGGAATGCAAAGATATGCTAGAAAGTGTGGCGGGCAATGCCTTAGGAAATTTCTAAACACAATTTTCTGTTGTTGGTCCTAGTGCCGGGGGGGGGGGGGTCAGTGCAAATGTTGGCTCCACCCACCCAGGCATAGCAAAAGCATAATTAGATGGAATGAAAATGCTGCAAAAAGTGCTCGTTTTATAATTATTTTATTAGGTTGGCTTTTTTTTTTTTTTAAAGTGTGAGCCCACAGAAGCCTGTCTGTCTAGCCCAATATCACCAGGTCGCAGAAGCTAAGCATGGTCAGCCCTTGAAAACCCTCTATGGGATCACCGTAAGTCTGGGAGCCTGGGAAAGAGAAGGCTTAGAGGGGACATGATTGCAGTCTTCAACTATTTGAAGGGCTGTCATGTAGAAGATGGAGCAGATCTATTCTCTCTTGCTCCGGATTGCAAGACTAGATCTAATGGGTGGAAATTACAAGGGAGCCGATACCGGCTAAATATCAGGAGAGACTTCCTAACTGTAAGAGTGGTTGAGCAGTGGAACAGTCTGCCTCGGGAGGTGGTGGCTGCTCCTCCGCTGGACGTTTTCAAGCGGAGGCTGGACGACCATCTTTCGGGTATGTTGTAGGTATGTAGGGCTGTCTTTCAGCTATGCTCCTGCAGAGTGCAGGGGGTTGGACTAGATGACCTGCAAGGTCCCTTCCAACTCTAACATTCTATGATTCTAAGTCACCTGCGACTTCATGGCCCTTTCCACCACCATATAACAACAACAACAAGCATTTAATTTCAGCTGGGTAGTCGTGTTAAGTCTACAGTGATAGAACTAAATTAGAGTCCACTAGCACCTTAAGGGCCAACAGATTCCACGGGACAGGCTTTCATGAGCCACAGCAAATATCATGAGATACAAATAGGATCTTCATTCTTCATTCCCATTTGTATTTGCAGAATGTTAGTAAATACTAACTGGAGAAGACCCTGATGCTGGGAAAGACTGAAGGTCAAAGAAGATGGGGACGGCAAAGGATGAGATGGTTAGACAGTGTCATCGATGCAACGAACATGAAGTTGAGCCAACTTCAGAGGACGGCGGAAGACAGGAGGGCCTGGCGGGAGCTGGTCCATGGGGTCGCGAAGAGTCGGACTCGACTGTGCGACTGAACAACAAAGTAAATATTCAAGGAGGGAAGGCAGCAAGGTATACCCTGATCTTGTCAGAGCCTGGAATCTAAGCAGGGCCGGTACTTGGAAGGGAGACCTCCAAGGAAGACTCTGCAGAGGGAGGCCAGGGCAAACCCACCTCCGCTTAATCCCTTGCCTTAAATGCCCCTTGCTGCGCTCTCCATAAGTCGACTGCGACTTGATGGCGCTTCACATACACACAGAGTAGCTATTCGTTGATATCCTGACTTTCCCACATATTAGGACCAGTGTTCCCTCTAAGCTGAGTTAGTGGGAGCTAGCTCACAGTTTTTTAGCCTCCGCCTCACGCATTTCGGTCTCAGCTCAGGAAGGAGGGCTCCAGAGCAAAGTGATTTGAGCAGCAGCCAAATCGCCGGCTCACAACTTTCATTGCCAGCAGCTCACAGAGTAGAATGTTTGCTCAGGAGACTCCGCAGCTTAGAGGGAACATTATGACTCAAGGTGACACCCACGGCCTGTAAATGTCATTATTAAGCATCTAGTCCATGAAAGTCCCATACCTCCCAACATGACATAAACAAGACAAAGATACGCCTGCAACCCCACAAAAACCTCTGCAACCATTCGCACTGCCCACCCTACCTCTCGCCATCATGATTACACAAGGATGAAGGGGCATCACTGCTATGTGAGGCACCCAGTTCTCTTCAACGGCCTGGTCCTCCATGGGTTTCAGAGCTAGGGGTGTCGGTTCTGGGTGAGGAACTTCCTGGAGATTTGGGGGTGGAGCCTGGGGAGGGCAGGGTTCGGGGAGGGGAGGGACCTCAGTGGGGTACAACCAATGCTGCGGAGTTCAACCTCCAAAGCAGCCATTGTCTCCATGGGAACGGATCTTGGTCGTGTGGAGATCAACTGTGATACCGGGAGATGTCCAGGTGCCACCTGGAGGTTAGCGACCCTATTCAGAGCTAAGATAAGATGGATAGGGTTCCTCGAGTTGAAGCTACATGCTTTTCTCATCATTGTCCCAGAGTGCATGATCAACTGTTGAAAATATCCCCCAGTGACTGCAGAGTGTGAAACAAACTGAGACCTGTGCAGCACCTAGAGCCAGTTTGGTGTAGTGGTTAAGTGTGCGGACTCTAATCTGGGAGAACCGGGTTTGATTCCCTAACCCTCCACTTGCACCTGGCTGGATGACCTTGGGCAAGCCATAGTTCTGTCAGAGCTGTTCTCTCAAGGACAGTTCTGGAAAGAGCTCTCTCAGCCCCACCTACCTCACAGGGGAGGGGAAGGGAAAGGAGTTTGTAAGCCACTCTGAGACTCCAAGTGAAGGGCAGGGTATAAATCCAATCTCTTCTTCTTCTTCATGTGCATGGAGTTACATGCGCGTAATCTACAGAAGACAGATCCATTCAATGATCAGATGCTTAATTTACAGAGAAATCCTTGAGGAATTTATTTGTTATATATGTATTTATTTATTCCATTTGTAGGCTCTTCGGCTTTGAAACGGAGATGAGCACCGCAACCCTAGAGTCAGATTCGACTGGCTTTCGAGCAAGGGAACCTTTACATTTACCTTTTTACCCCATCTTTCTCCCCAATGGGGACCCAAAGTAGCTTACGCTGACCTCCTCTCCTCCATTTTACCCTCACAACAACCCTGTGAGGTAGGTTAGGCTGAAAGCGTGTGACTGGCTCAAAGCCACCCAGCGAGCTTCCAAGGAACGAGTGGGGGGACGCAAACTGGGATGCCCCAGACACCTGACTGACACTCTTATATCTGGCTCTCACACTAAAAATTGTAACCAGAAACCCCAGCGGGGGAGACTGCAGTAGGAACCAGAAAATGATAGTCCGGGGGGAACAGGGACAGACAGACCACGTGATGAATGTGAGTCTGTGTCTGCTACACCAGTTGGGTACAAGGGTGAAAAGACCAGTTGCCGCCACAAACCTGAAAATACACCGTCCAGTAAGGTATGAGTGCCAGGAAGACAGGGATGATCTTGACCAGCGCCTTCACATCTTCGACTTTGTCTTCCCTGAAGGGCCCTCCGCGAGAGGCTTTGGCCATCTCAAAGAGGTTCTGCTTTATAGGACGCTGCTGAAGTATCCCTTGGGTGTCCCTTTTGAAAGAACAAAAGAGCATTGGAGGGAGAAAAAGAGGAGGGAAGGGAAGGGGGGGGTCAAAGACGCACTCTCCATTTCCCAAAACAAAGCCATTTGGATTGTCATCCGTCATAGGGATGTAAGAGAAGCCATCTTGGATCAAGCCAATGCCTTACCCAGTCCAACACTCTGTATCACATGGTGGCCAAAACCCAGGTGCCATCAGGAGGTCCACCAGCAGGGCCAGAACTCCAGAAGCCCTCCCCTGTTGCCCCCCAAGCACCGAGAATACAGAGTGTCACTTCCCCAGACAGAAGAACATAAGAGAAGCCATGTTGGATCAGACCAATGGCCCATCCAGTCCAACACTCTGTATCACATGGTGGTCACCCAGGTGCCATCAGGAGGTCCACCAGCAGGGCCAGAACTCCAGAAGCCCTCCCACTGTGGCCCCCCAAGCACCAAGAAGACAAAGTGTCACTTCCCCAGACATAAGAACATAAGAGAAGCCATGATGGATCAGGCCAATGGCCCATCCAGTCCAACATTCTGTGTCACACGGGGGCCAAAACCCAGGTGCCATCAGGAGGTCCACCAGCAGGGCCAGAACTCCAGAAGCCCTCCCACTGTGGCCCCCCAAGCACCAAGAAGACAGAGTGTCACCTCCCCAGACATAAGAACATAAGAGAAGCACCAAGAAGACAGAGTGTCACTTCCCCAGACATAAGAACATAAGAGAAGCCATGTTGGATCAGGCCAATGGCCCATCCAGTCCAACACTCTGTATCACATGGTGGCCAAAACCCAGGTGCCATCAGGAGGTCCACCAGCAGGGCCAGAACTCCAGAAGCCCTCCCATTGTTGGCCCCCAAGCACCAAGAATATAGAGCATCACTGCTTCAGACTGTAAGGACCGGCTCCAAGAGTCCCATCTGGTGCTTTGAATGAGGAGACCATGGAAGGCTTATTTGCAGTGACAGGCATCCCTGAGGAAAAGGCACAATTCCTTGAACCCAATGCTGTGCTCAAACGGCATCCCTGTATTCTCTCCCATAGAAGGAATGGGTAAAGTGGAGCATATGTACACTCTAAGTTGCCTTATCCTGAATCAGGTCATTAGTCCATCAAGGCCAGTATTCTTTACTCAGACTGGCAGCAGCTGTCCAGTTGGAGGTCTTACACCTGATCCCTTTAACTGGTGGTACTGGAGATTGAACCTGTGGCCTTCATGCAAAGCAGATGTTCTACCACTGAGCCACAGCCCCTCCCTACAGCACTTTTGTTTGCAAAAGGGTTCCAGAGGAGATCCGGGAAATTACAGGCCAGTCAGTCTGACGCCAATACCAGGTAAGTTGTTGGAAACTGTTATTAAGGAAAGAATTAGCAGGCGCATTGATGAACAAAACCTATTGAGGCAGACTCAGCATGGGTTCTGTAAGGGAAGATCTTGTCTCACTAACCTGTTAGTGTTCTTTGAGGGACTGAACAAACATGTGGACAAGGGGGACCCAAAAGATACTGTTTACCTTGACTTCCAAAAAGCTTTTGACAAAGTTCCTCATCAAAGGCTCCTAAGTAAGCTCAATAGTCATGGGATAAAAGGACAAGTCCTTTTGTGGATCAAAAACTGGCTAATTAATAGGAAACAGAGAGTGAGTATAAATGGGAAACTTTCTCCATGGAGGGTGGTAAGCAGTGGGGTACCACAGGGATCAGTACTCAGTCTGATGCTTTTTAACTTGTTTATTAATGATTTGGAGTTGGGAGTAAGCAGTGAAGTGGCTAAATTTGCAGATGACACGAAGTTGTTCAGGGTGGTGAAAACCAGGGAGGATTGTGAGGCACTCCAAAGGGATCGATCGAGGATGGGCGAATGGGCGTCAACGTGGCAAATGGGGCTCAATGTGGCCAAGTGCAAAGTAATGCACATTGGAGCCAAAAATCCTGACTATAAATACAAGTTGATATAAATACAAGTCCAAACTGGCAGAGACTGACTAAGAGAGAGATCTTAGTAGATAACTCAATGAAAATGTCGAAACAGTGTGCGACTGCAATAAAAAAGGCCAACGCTATGCTGGGAATGACTAGGAAGGGAATTGAAAACAAATCAGCCAGTACCATAATGCCCCTGTATAAATCAATGGTGCGACCTCATATGGAGTACTGTGCACACCTCAAAAAGGATATTATAGCATTGGAAAAAGTGCAGAAAAGGGCAACTAGAATGATAAAAGGGTTGGAACACTTTCCCTATGAAGAAAGGTTAGAACGCTTGGGGCTCTTTAGCTTGGGGAAACGATGGCTGAGGGGTGACATGATCGAGGTTTATAAGATTATGTGTGGGATAGAGCAGGTAGAGAAAGAAGTGCTTTTCTCCCTTTCTCACAATACAAGAACTCATGGGCACTCCATGAAATTGCTGAGCAGTCGGGTTAGAACAGATAAAAGGAAGTACTTCTTCCCCAACACATGGAATTCACTGCCACAGGAGGTGGCGGCGGCTACAAGCATGGACGGCTTCAAGAGGGAATTAGATAAACATATGGAGCAGATGTCCGTCAGTGGCTATTGGCCAGAAGGTATAGAAAGGAACTCTGGGGCAAGTGATGCTCTGTATTCTTGTTGCTTGGGGGGGCAACAGTGGAAGGGCTTCTAGTGTCCTGGCCCTACTGCTGGACCTCCTGATGGCACCTGGTATTTTTGGCCACAAAGTGTTGGACTCGATGGGCCACTGGCCTGTTCCAACATTGCTTTCTCTTATGTTCTTATTATTGTAGCAAGTGCAAACATCACTCTGTGAGCACGCAGAGACATACTGTACGCCCACATACCCATCCTCACACTATAGGAGCATTTAACATTTCCGTAATGCTTTCCTGGTGGTCAAGCTCTTTGAACGTATTATTTTGCTGACCTCCTTACAAGGGAGCCCTGTAAGATAAGCTTCATATTGTTATTCCTTTACTTCAGACGGGGGGGACGGAAATTGGCTTGCCTAAGCCCCCCAGGGGAGTCTGTGGCAGGATTTGAATCAGGAACCTCCCGTATCAAGGTTCCCACTTTGGTATCAACAAGATCATCACTCTGGCTCCTCCTCTCTTCCCATCATATGGCACTGATGTCCCAGGATTTTGTGAAATGCAACTGCAGCTCCCAGGGCTGGAAAGTCTGAAGGCCACTGCTCAAGGACAACCGAGGGACATCAAAGCCCTACGCAGAGATGAGCTGGCTCCGTTCTCAGCAGCTACAGTTCAACTCACCCGTTGCTCAAGTGTTCTCTGGGCCTTTTCCTGGAGCAGCACGAGTAAGCCAGAATCTTAAACATGTCCGTGAAGGCGCTGCCGTCGGGGGGCTTTGTGATGAAGAAACTCTGGCTGCACAGGAAGACGACGAACGAGACCCCGATGCAGACAGCCGGGATGATGTAGCCTATGACGAAACTGACGTTCTGCTGGATGTAGGCGATGCCTCCCAGGGACAAGAGGGCGCCCACGTTAATGCTCCAGTAGAACCAGTTGAAAAAACGGCGAGTCGCTTCAGGGCCTCGATCTTTGACCTGCACACGATTTACAAAAGGAGAGAGAGGGAAAGTCATTCACTGTCTCCAAAAGGAAGCGTTCTATCAATACGATACATACACATTTTTTTAAAGAGGGGGCAGGGGAAAAGAAATAGAAATTTGATAGGGGGGGGACTGCAGTGTTCCCTCTAAACTGTGGAGTCTTGTGAGCAAAAATTCTGCTTTGTGAGCTCCTGGCATTAAAGCTGTGAGTGAGCGATTTGGCTACTGCGTATATTAGTTTGCTGTGGAGCCATCCTCCCTGAGCTAAGACAAAAATATGTGAGCTGGAGGCTAAAAAACTGTGAGCTAGCTCACACTAACTCAGCTTAGAGGGAAGACTGAGGGACTGAAATATATGCACTACTTCCCTTCTTTTTAAACCAATCCACCATTATTTATGAGAATTCTAAACTACAAGTACTTTCACTTTCTACAAGCAAAATTACAAATACTGCCCAGCAGTAAACAAAGAGGGAACCCTGCAAACTGCTGCACATTATGCTACCATAGCAAATGTATCTTAATTTTTGCCATCTGGCGCCGGGGAGGGGGGGGGAGCTGGAAACAGAAAACACACATTTTATAATAAACAACATAAAGGTGTATTTATTTGGACAGGAACGAGAAGCTTCACACAGTCACTATAAGGCTAGAAGCATCATTGGATTAAACTTGATATTGTCGGAAACACTGAACTCTTCATTAGTGTATTAGCATATACATTATAGCATACTAACGGCAGAGCAAAATTAGGCACATTCGAACAATAAACATATGCTTGAAAATATGTTGTATGTTTATGCTTATGAGTATAGACAGGAATTATTTTCTAGGGCTCTAGATTGTCTCACACAAAAAAAATCTTCATACTAGACATCTGGACACCACAGTTTTCCCTGCAATACATCTTAAATCAGGGTTTCCACTCGATCTGGGGAAAGTGATGCACTATATTCTTGCTGCTTGGGGGCGGGGGGAGCAATAGTGGAAGGGTTTCTAGTGTCCTGGCCCCACTGATGGACCTCCTGATGGCACCTGGTGTTTTTGGCCACTGTGTGACACAGAGTGTTGCACTAGATGGGCCATTGGCCTCATCCAACATTGGCCTCTCTTATGGTCTTATGTTCTTAACCCAGAGTGTCAACTCCAGCTATAGTGGGGTGGGGAGATTAACTCCTGCTCCCATGCCATTTTTCTATTGCAAATTCACCTCCCCAGTTGCTCTGAAAGAGGCTAATCAAAGATGGTACACAGATCATGTCTCAATCCTAAAGGGAGCAGCATTTTCAGCTAGGAATCTGTGCAGATAGCTGACCAATAGGGAACCTCCCCCTGGACTATTTTACGAGACAAACACCCCACCTGGACTTCCAGACAAAGAGCTATATATAGCTTAGCCCTAAGTGACCTTGGGGCGTTCTGCAACTGGAGGACTGACTCGATTATCTGCCTAATCTGTCCAAGGGTTAAGTACTAACTGGCAGATAACTCCCTCAGATAATCACGCTCCTCTAATGGAGCCCTCTCTATCAGAGAATTACTTCCTCTGTGCAAAACCACTTTTATCAGATCCCCAGAAGTGCACTTGCTCCGGATAAACAGGAATGCAAGGAGTTTTGACTGCTGAGAGTATGTGTGTGTCCTTCAAAAGACAATGCCGTCGCCCGCTGAGCTCCGAAGTGTTTGAGAAACAACATGGCACGATGAACAATGAGTTTAGGGTTATTTATGATGCAGACAGCCATCCTAAGAAGAGATGTATGCAGGGGTCATTTCCTGCGGGAGCGCACAGGAGCGGAGCTCCGGCAGTAAGGAGCCCAGGGGGCGGAACAAGCCCTGCCCCCTGCTCCCAGCAGCCCTCAGGCGGCCCATGAGGAGCAAGAAGCAGCCAGGTAAACGTTGCAGGGCCCCCCCCCCGGCCCGCCTTCAGGTACAAGCTCTCCCTCCTCTGTGAGGGCAGATCTGCACGTGTCCCCCCCACCCAATAGCTAGCAATCAAAAACAGTCCAGTGGAGCCTGAGTGGTGGGTGTTGCCTTCTGACACACTTCTGGTGATGTCAAGGGGTGTGGCATATGCAAATAAGTTATGCTAATGAGTTCCTGCACCTCTTTTTCTACGAAATGACCCCTGGATGTATGTGTATGTTACGTGCCGTCACGTCGCTTCCAATTTATGGCGACCCTATGGATTAATTCAGGTGGGTAGCCGTGTTGGTCCAAAGCAGTCCAGCGTCACCTTTAAGACCAACAAAGTTTAATTCTGGGTGTGAGCTTTTGTGTGCATGCACACTTTTTCAGTCACTGTATCCGAAAAAGTGTGTATGCACACAAAAGCTTATCCTATGAATTACACTCCCCCCAAACGTCCTGTGGCTAACAGCCTTGCCCAGGTCTTGCATACTTGAAGGCTGAGGCTTCCTTGGTGGAATCAGTCCATTTCCTGCTGCCTTCAACTTTTCCTGGCATGACTGTATTTTCCAGTGACTGTTGTCTTCTCATAAGGTGACCAAATTACAATAGCCTCAATTTTAGCTTCTAGGGAGAGTTCAGGCTTGATTTGATCTAAAGGTAAAGGACTGCTCAAAAGCCAGTCGAATCCGACTCTAGGGTTGCGGTGCTCATCTCCGTTTCCAAGCCGAAGAGCCAGCGCTGTCCGAAGACGTTTCCGTGGTCATGTGGCTGGCATGACTAAACACCAAGGCGCACGGAACGCTGCTACCTTCCCACTGAAGTGGTACCTATTTATCTACTTGCAATTTCTTGCTTTCGATCGGCTAGGTTGGCAGGAGCTGGAACTAAAGACGGGAGCTCACTCCGTCATGCGGCACCCGGGTCTCGAACTGCTGAACTACTGACCTTTCACAGCCTGCAGTTCAGCGTCTTAACCACTTGAGCCACTGCAGCTCCTATTGATTTGATCTAGAACCGACTTATTAGTCTTTTTGACAGTCCACGGTATCTGTAAAACTCTCCTCCAGCACCACTGCTGCGTTCACACACACTAAATAATCCACTTTGAATCCACTTTCAATGCACTTTCAAACTGGATTTTGCCCGTTCACACAGTACACATCCAGTTTGCAAGTGGATTGAAAGTGGATTATTTAGTGTGTGTGAATGCAGCCCACATTTCAAATGAATCAACTTTCTGCATTTCAGTGGCAAAAATAGGTCCCTGCCTCAAGGAACTTACAAATTAGAATAGATAAGAGGGGAAGCGCAGTGAGGGACAAAGAAAAGGCATTTTCAAAAATGTAAAGCTTGGGTACAGCTGGGGATGAGAACAGAAAAGGCTGAGAATGAGGTTTTAGATAAGGGGTCTGAACAGAGGTTGTCCCGCATACATGATCAGGTGGAGAATTCCAGCTATCAACCACAAAACCACACAGATTAGAACACTGCTGGATCAGACCCCAAAGCACATCTGATTTAGCCTCCTGTTTCCACAGTGACCAATGAGATACCCTGAGAAACCCTCAAGGAGGACACGTAGGCTTAACCGGGACCCAGGGGTATACTGCTTGTGAACCTGGAGGTTCCATGCAGCCATCGATGGACCTCTCCTCCATGAACATACCCAGCCTTCTTTTAAAACCATCTCAGTTAGCGGACATCACCTTATCTTACAGCCGTGACATCCATAAATTAAATAACGCGCTCAGCAAATTTACCAGTCAATCAATTTCTTTGGGCGCCCCATGACTTCTAGCCAGGGGTCATTTCATAGAAAAAGAGGTGCAGGAGCTCATTAGCATAACTCATTAGCATAACTTATTTGCATATGCCACACCCCCTGACATCACTGGAAGTGTGTCAGAAGGCAACACTCACTGCTCAGGCTCTACTGGACTGTTTTGGATTGCTAGCTATGGGGGGGGGGGGAGATCTGCCCTCACAGAGGAGGGAGATCTTGTACCCGAATAAACCGTGGCCTCAAAGGTGCCACTGGACTGTTTTGGATTGCTAGCTGGGGGGAGGGAATGCACAAATCTGTGCAGAAAGGAAGGAAGGAGAGAAAGAAAGAGAAGGAAAGAAGGAGGGCTGCTTTTTGCTCCTTGTGGCCCAGGGCTGCTGGGAGCAGGGGGCGGGGCTTGTTGCATGTGCCCACCCCCTGGGCTCTTTACTGCCGGAGCTTCGCTCCTGTGCGCTCCTGCAGGAAATGACCCCTGCTTCTAGCATTATGGCAACCAGAGACAAAGCTCTCTCTCCCTTCTGTTCGCGACACTCCATGTATAATTTTATGAACTTCAATCATATCTTCACTTAGTCTTGTTTCTTTACTGAAAATCCCCCAACTCTTTAACTGTTCGCCACAGGAAAGGTGCTCTGACCCCCTGTTCCTTCCGACTGCCTTCTTTTGAACCTTTTCCAGTTTCTAAGATGCCCTTTTCGAAATGGGGCAGCCCAGACTGTATAAAGCAGGGGTACCCAACACGGTGCCCATGGATGCCGCGGCGCCCACCCACACTTTTTCTGTTGTCCACCAAGTGTTCTTAGGAAGTGGGTGGGGCCAGGTAGGGCTTTTGCCCAGCAAGGCTTCTGATTGGCCGCTGGAGATTTGATTGGCTGTGCAGATTGTTTTTAAATGCTGCTTTGGCAGCAGCTGCCAGCACAGCACAAAGATCTACTGGTGAATTTAAGCTGCGGCAATCGTTTTGTAGCTGCGTACACCTCCTGCAGCAGGCGTTCTGGAGCAGCCATTTTATTGCTGCATTAAGTATGCCATGTCAGAATTTCAAATGTGCCTACAGGCTCACAAAGGTTGGGGACCTCTGGTATAAAGTATTCCAACTTAAGTAGGTAAGTAAGGGTGTCCCAGTTACACTACACTCGCTGAGTCGTTTCAAGAAGGATTTGCACAAAGGCACGGCCGCTGCCCAAAAGAATCCCGAAAGGCTCCTGAGAATCTAGTCTCCCATCTTCATCCCCGTAAAGAAGTGCCCCAGCCCACCCCAGTGGAGTCCCTTGGCTGGAAATCAGACCAGCTGAAGAGA